AGAGTATGAAAAATTTAAGAAAGCAGAAGAATGGAATATGCAGGAATTGTGCGACACCATAAAAAGACCAAACTCACGAACCGTATAGGCATACAGGAAGGATAAGAATCCCACAGTAATGGCATGGACCAGATCTTCAATAGAATAGAAGAAAATTTCCCAAAATTAAAGAAAAACATGCCCATACAAATACAAGAAGCATATAGAACACCAAACAGACAGGACGAGAAAAGAATCTCTCCCTGGCACATCATAGTAAAACCACTAAGTGTACAGAACAAAGAGACAATAGTGAAAGCTGCAAAAGAGAAACAAGTCACATATAAAGGAAAACCCATCAGGATTACAGCCGACTTTTCAGTGAAAACTATGAAAGCCAGAAGAGCCTGGACCAAAGTATTTCCAGTTTTAAATGGCTACAGATGCCAACCCTGATTACTATACCTAGCCAAAATGTCTATCATAGTCGAAGGGGAAAGAAAAATCTTCCATGACATAAACAGGCTGAAGGAATTCATGTCCACAAAACCAGCCCTTCAGAGAGTTCTGGAAGCAATACAAAGAGCTGAAGAAAGGAATGACTATACCCAAGGGGTTGCAGAAAGAAATTCAGTGAAGGTATAACTGTGGAAAAGTATGGCTATATCAATAGTGTAAACAAATAAAAATGACAGGATTCAATACACATTTCTCATTAATAACTTTAAATATTAATGAACTGAACTCCACAGTCAAAAGATACAGACTAGTTGAATGGATTAAGAAACAAAACCCATCTTTTTGTGGTCTGCAAGAAACTCAATCTCACTTTCAAGGACAGGCACTACCTTAAGGTGAAAGGATGGAAAAAAGATACCAAACGAATGGTACTAAGAGAAGAGCAAGCACTGCAATTCTAATATCTGACAAAAGAGACTTTAAAACTAAGTAGATATAAAGAGGGGCTCTTCATTCTGATCCAAGGAGCATTAAACCCCAAGAAGATATTACAATCATGAACATATATTCACGAAAGTCTGGTGCACCCAGACAGTAACCCAGACTCCCAGACAGTAACCCAGCACAGAACAGGGAAAATGAACAGCAGATCCCAATCCTATCTAAAGGAATATTGACAACTGATTGCTGCTAGATGAGGAACAGGTGACCTTCCTAAAACAAAGACCTCTAGACAGGCTGACTAGATTCACCAGATGGACAAGTAGTGGGGAACGGCTGGGGGTGCTGACAACACAGCGGACAGTAGCAAGTATAACAGAGTATAAGGGCTTTAGTGGGAGAAGGGAGGCCATGGCAGGGTGCCTTCTGGGAAGTGGGTGTATAGTTGCATAAGATGGTTTGGGATGTTCTGTGTGATATACACACACAGAAAAAAATCAAATAAAAATGTATTATATTTGAGGAGGAAGCATAAAAGTTTGTCATATTAATTAGTAGAGGTGATGAACACCACCATTGAACTCTACCAGATGACTTTGTAGACATACACAAGCATCAAGGATCTGAGTGCAAACGTTTATGACCAGTAATGATCAGATACATACAGATTAGAGACACATGTGCCAACATCTCAGCATTAATAGCAAAAACAGTAAGTCTTTCTGTAGGAAACAGTATATTTTGGAATGAAATGCAGACCTCTTTTGAGGGTTGAAAACTCATTCAATTTTTTGTCTTGCAGGGCTTATGCTGAGTTCAAAATTGTATAACTGTATTGATTCAACAGTGAACCTAGAAATTTTATAGCCACTTTTGGGGGAGCTGTGTCTTTGCTCTGGAAACTGTTATTAGGCATGTTAAAGCTGTACTGAAATGCTTCTTCTAAAATAAAAAATAATAATATTAAAAAATGTAGGAAACAGCATATCTTGAAATGGAGATCTTCTTTAAAGGGTAAAAACTCATTCAATTTTATGTCTTAGAGGGTTTATACTGAGTTCAATATTGTATAACTGTATTAATTCAACTGTGAGCCTAAAAATTTACAGCCACTTTTGAAAGAGATGTATCCTTGCTCTGCAGTGTGTTACAGAATATGTTAAAGCTGTAATGAAATGCTTCTTCTAATCATGTGGTTATTAAATTTTTTAAAAAATTAAAAATAATAATTCTTCCAAGTATAAACTTTGCTCCTTAATAATTAGTAGATGTGAAAAACATTATCACTGAAATCTACCTAATGACTATATATACATGCTCAGATGCCAAGGAGCTCAGAAAGTAACCGACTGTGACTAAAGTAACCGACTGCCACTCGTAATAATCAGATATATAGAGATTAGAAACACATGTGCAAACATCTCCATATGAATTGCATTAAAAATGAATTTTTCTGTATGAAAATGTGTATTTTAGTAATGAAATGGAGATATTTTATAAAGGTTAAAACCTCATTTAATTTTATGTCTTATAGGGTTTGTACTGAGTACAATATTGTATAACTTTATTAATTCAACTGTAAACCTAAAAATTTACAGCCAATTTTGAAACAGATACATCTTAGCTCTGGAAATTGGTATTGAATATGTCAGTGCTGTTGTCATGAAATGCCTCTTCTAATTATGTGTTTATTAAATAATTTTTAAAAAAAGAAAAAAGAAATGGAAGTCTTTTACAAAGTAAAACTTGCTTTTTGAAACGATGCCTTTTGTATGAATTTTTAATATCTTTGCAAACTTGTTCAATCAACGTTTCCTATATTGTTTTAAATGTATGGAAACAAAGCCATTTTTAACCTTATCTTTTAATAAAATTTCATTTTATATATATAGAAGATGCTATGCAGTCCCTTCTTGCAAAGAGAAAGCAATTTCAGCGGATTTTAAATGAGTCTTTCCAAACTTTGAATGAAAAACTTAGCCATATTTTAAAAGACGAGCAAAAGAACAGGTAAGAGGTTGGCTTTGAGCTATAAAGTTTGTGTAATTTGTTACTCTTCATTGGTGGAAGTAAATTCAGATTCCCATTATCGTTATGTATTGATTTGACTCTCCAATGAAGACTACATTTCACTTGATTTTCCTCTGAATAGATAATTTTTATTACTTTCAGAACCCTAGTTTTAAATAATTGAGACATTATGTAGAAGGCAGTGAATATGACATTTTCTCCTCTCTTAGATAACACTAGGGCTTTCTTCTGTTATATCAAACATGAATTGATATATTTCCATATGTAGCATATTGTAATATGCTCATTGTTAAAGCATCATATGTGTGGGAGCAAATATTCAACCATATTGAAAGTCACTATAAACACACACAATATATATATATATTAGTGATTGTCTTAGTTTCTAAATAATCTGAATATTTTTCCAAATTGTATTCACCAGTTTTGGGAAAATGATTGTGCCAATGGGAGGAAAGAATTCAGTGAACTATTTTTGTATGGAAGCTCTTAGGACAATGAAAGATTTTAGTTGCATTACTAATTTTCAGATAATTAGCAATTTATTGTTTCAGAATCTGTGTTGCTTACTAAGAGGGAGATTTAGCTCATTATAGGTCAAATAAGTATGGGAAATTTATATAGCTGTGAATCTGTGTTCAAGAAGAAAGATGTGGGACATTCTTTTGTAGTGAGTTAGGACTAAATACTTTTGGAATGAGATTACCTGTTTTTACCTTTCTCTGGAGTGTTAGATGATTTCAATGATCTTCCATCCTCTTTTGAAAGTATGAGTTATTCCAAATAAACTTGTTTAAGGGTGTATAATGTTTTCTTAACTTTATGCCATGTGAACATGATCATTGTTATGTTTCTCAGGGAGGTTTATTCTGAATACGCTCAGCTGGCTCAGCCTTTGTTTCATCAGTGGCAGAAAGAGGTAATGGAATCTGAGAAAGAAGAAGAAAAACTAATTGTAAGTATGAGGCTTGGATTTGTAATTAATCTGTTGTTACAAAGTCTGAAGTAGCATAGAACATAGAGTACATGAGCTTAGAGGACTAGCAGGGTGATGCACTGCATGATGGGAGAATAACTGTTCTCTCTGGCTTGCTTCTTTATCTGTAGTGACTTGGCTGAGTCATTGGTTAGGAGCCTAGCTGTGTACCACAACATGATTTACATTGAGGGAGGATGAGAAGGAACACGATGTTTTTTTTTTTTTTCTTAAGAGGGTAGCATGAGTGGGGTACAAATGGCACACAGTAGGAGTATAAGACAGCATTATGACACAATGGTAAGTAATTTTAAGTGAGAGAAGACAATGGCAGTGGCAGAGCAGGCAGAGGGATGGATTTGTACCATTGGGATTCTGAAAGCTCAGACCCAGAGGGAAAGGGCAAGCACTTATATGCAAGAACAGGTGGTTTGATGTCTGATATTTAAGCTGAGACTGAGAAAAGGACAGAGATGGGGTATTGGACGACGAAAAGTGCTCTTTATGAGAGTTCATGATCCTGGTAGAAGATTCAGCAGTAATACCAAACAGGGCTATCTTCAAAGGTAGCAAAGTGGCTGGGTGTTAGAAAAACTGGAGAAAACCCAGTCCTGTGCTCAGGAACTTGTTGTCTGGAACTCTGGAAGCCAACCCTTGTATAATCAGTTGCTAGCTGTGAAGTCACCACTGGAAAGTGTTTTATCCATGTGGCTCATGAGTGACAGGAGAGAGAATGTAAATATTTATCTTGTAGAGCTGTTCTGAGGATCAGATGAGTTCTATTTTGTTTTGGCCAATGGTTGAGAATAGTACCTGACAAATGATTGCTGTATGTCTGCATGTTTTCCCATTTTGTAACAGTGCTAATAATGAGGCTGAAGAATTCTAGATTACTTTGAGTGGCAGGCAGGAATCAGGACAACATTGTTGTTGGAGAATAAGTCAAAGAACTGAAAAGCCTGAAATCTTGCAAGTTTTACCTATGTAAATGTTGAAATGAGTAAGAATTAATGACTTTTGAATTCTGTACAAAAGGAATATTTTCAACTTAATATCTGTGAGGTAGAAGTTTGTAGATGGTAGGGATCATCTACTGATTTCAACTTTAGGAATGCCTCCAGTTTGAATATTGGTGAGGAAAAGGATACCCTACTCAAAGACTGATGAAAACATGTATCATTTAAAATTATTTTAACTATTTAAAATTGTTTAAAATTTATTATTAAAGTAGAAAATGCCAGCAGTGATTGATTTGGTGTTTTCCTTTAAATACAATACAATTTAGATTGTAAATGTTCAACGTTATGTACATTTTATCACGTTTCCTTTCTTATGTTAGAGTGTGGCTGAACAGCAATGTCATATGGTACTTCATGCTACACGGGTCTATGAAGCAAACTTTGAAGAAGCCAAAAAGTTTTCTGTGGAATTTTTACAGGTCAGTTTTTTGTAGTTGGTAAGAAATCAAATTCTTGTGACACAGTGCATCTGTAAAAGCGGAAGACAGACTTGTTCTTTCTGAGTTCAAGGGAAAAACAGTTGATTTAGCCTTTGAAAATGTTGTCCATAAACTGTGTCATGCTTGCCTAAATTTACTGCGATTGGTAAGTATATGTTTAATTTGAGAAAGCAATTAAGTTTCATGAGTTATTGAAAACAGAAGTAAATTGGGAATTTATGTAGAAATAAACTTACTGTGCATGACATTGATGCGTTTTTTACTCTGTCATGATGTCTTTCTGTTCGAGTTGACAAATACATAGTACACATTGGCAAGTCTAAATGATTTCTGCTTTTCATTTCCTTGTCTGATATGGAGCTAGTAATCCTTGTTGATTCTGATATAGAACTACAGTATTCAGGGGTTTAAGATATGTTTTTTGTGGGGGGAGGGCATCCTTTTTAATACTCAATACTAAACATTTCCAAAACTAATTGAGATAGCTTTACTAAAGTGATGATGGTCAAAATTGCCTTTGTTATTTTACAGTCAGAGATCTACAAACCAGCTGTTTAGGTCACTTTAAAGGTAGTAGAAGTATAGCTCTACTGTGCCCTAAGAAACATTTGCTTGAAGGTCTAACTAGAAGGGATTTCTTTCTTCCAAATGTTAATGCTAAGTGGACAAGTACATAAGAAACTTTCTTACTGAACCTCCTGTGGTGGTTCCTTGTTCGCGTACCTAGTTACCGATAGGGCCCCTTTCTCTTCTATGCAGCCATTCCTCTCTGTCTTTCATAAACCTCCCTCTGCTGCTGAATTACTATAGGACCTCCTCATTTCTTGGTAGTGCAGTGGAATCTTTTCTGTATTCCCTCTACTTAATCCCTCCTTCCGTTGGACATCTCCACCTTTCTTGTCATATTTAAAATGTGTAAATTATCATATTACTGTCCTAAAACACACTGTCCCCTCACTTTTCCAAATCTGTTGCTAGCCTTCCATTCTAAATCCTCATGTTTTTCCAATTCCCTCCCCCAAAACATTCCTTCCCTGCAAATAAGAGCTACTCTTGCTGTACCCTTTCTTTTCTTTCACCCCTCCAGCATAGTAGATTCCTCTGAAGTAACTCCCCATTCTGTTCCCATGCTTTGCTCATTCCCTATTTCTTGTGTTTACCTAGGGAAATTGGATTTTTCTGCCAGCTCTTAAGCATTAATTTCCTCTTTTTAGGCACATAACCCAGAAAGGTATCTGTCCATACCTAGTTTAAACTTATGTCTGTTTATATGCTTATCTGTGTCATAAGAATACGGCACAAACTTTGTAGTTACTTTTTAATTGTTCCACACACATGACGCTGTTCTTTCCCCATACTGTTCACCACCTCACTGTACTTCACTTGAACAGAGAAAAATTTAAAACTTGTCATCTTTTCTCTAACTTGAAAAGCCACATTATAGTTCATTTTATTATATCTTTTTAAATTTTGAAACATTTTAAAAAATACTATTTATTTTTTATGTGTATGAGTGTATTGCCTGCATGTCTGTCAGTGTACCTGTGTCATACAATGCCCATGGAGGTCAGAAGCGGGTGGGGGATTGCCCCTGGAACTGGAGTTAAGGATGATTGTTAGCTGCCATACAGGTACTGAGAATTGAACCTGAGTTTTCTGTAAGAGCAGCCAGTGCTCTTACCTGCTGGGCTGTATCACCAGTCCTTATTTTATTATTCTCTGGTCCTTATTTTATTATTTCTATAGAAATCATTTTACATGGACTATTAGTGATAGTAAGTCATTGACCGGGTGAAAATTTATAGTAGTTCATGGTATAGGCCTGGAAGTCTTTTTCTGTCTGCTTCCTCTTGCTCTTCACTGCTTATTAATCAATTCATTTTTCCAAGCTAAATATATGGCTGTTTTACTTCTCATGAAAATGGCATTCTATTCAAATCAACCATATACAAAATGTTTAGTGGACATTAATATGTGCATAAATGTCACCATTTTTTCCTTGTAGCCATAGTAGCATCCTTTGACTATCAAAAGTTCTTAGTCTTGAGTATCAGAAGTTCTTCGTTTTAAACTTTACTTTGCACATTTTGAATGGGACATGAAAAGTGAGAATTTCCAGCTGAAAGAGACTCTTTTATTTTAGAATATGAAAGTCCTTCAGGAGAAGCACAAATCTCTTCTTACTGTTGCACAAACAGAAGTGGAAAAGGAAATGGAAAAATCGAAGGAAAATCTTATGATAGAAACTGTAAGTAGTGTATATTTATTGCTTAAAATCAAATATCTATGTTACAAGCATTGGAATGTCTTTGAAGAGATGTGTGTAGTAATTATCTTCATCTCTTTTTTTCTAAAACAGCAAAATCAAGATGTGGCAGCTGTTGAAAATGGCCATCAGTCCCTGCTGTCTGAGAGCTGTGAAGAAAGGACATGATCATACAGTACATGATAGGCATGAAACATTAGCTAAACTAACAGAAATGCTAATAGAAATCAGTACATCACATTTACCATTATTTTGTTACGTAAAAGAGCCCATGTCTGCTAACATTCAAGTGAATCTCTAAATAGTTCCCTGAGCAGCAGGGAAAAAAATACAGCAAAGTCTCTTTTATCTGTGTGTTCTTTGTACTACACATTAAGTCCCAGAGACAATTCCATTGCAAATAAAACTTCAAAGTAAAATTAATTCAATGTGCTTCTAAAAATTGTTGAATTTGGGGCTGGAGAGATGGCTCAGTGGTTAAGAACACTGGTTGTTCTTGCAGAAGACCTGAGTTTGAATCCCAGCACCCACATGGCAGCTAAAAAATGTCTGTAACTCCAGTTCCAGGGGATCCAACAGCCTCTTCTGACCTCCACAGGTATTGCATGACACAGGTGCACTTACCCACATAAAGGCAATACACGCATAGACATAAAATAAAAATAATTAAAACTACTGAATTTATATTTTGCTGGTAGAAGAAAATTCAAATGCTGAAATGATTCAGATAACTAAACAAAACCAAAACATTAGTACTGAGCTTGGGATGTAGGTCTCTGGCATTTATAGAAACTTTTTATTTAATTGCTTTATCTAGCAATTAATTGATGCCTGCCACTAGTATCGATTGACAGCATGTTATTTACATAGAGGTATACTTATTTATAATCTCAGTATTGTAGCTTTGCCTTTAATGATGTCATATAGAGTGCTTTGTTTTTCTAGTAGAATATTTACTGAATAGAAAATTACACATGCATGTGTTTAACTTTTGAATTGCTTTCTTAACTTTTTTATGGTGTAACTTTTTTAAAAATTTATTTAATAGCCATGTGATTAGAAGAAGCATTTCATTACAGCTTTAACATACTCAATAACAATTTCCAGAGCAAAGATACATCTCTTTCAAAAGTGGCTGTAAATTTTTTGGTTCACAGTTGAATTAATACTGTTATACAATTATACAGTTATATAATATTGAACTCAGTATAAACCCTGTAAGTCATAAAATTGAATGAGTTTTTAACCCTTAAAAAGAGATCTCTGCTGGGCATGGGTGGTGCACACCTTTAATCCCAGCACTCAGGAGGCAGGGGCAGGTGGATCTCTGTGAGTTCAAGGCCAGCCTGGTCTACGTAGTGCGTTCCAGGACAGCTGGGGCTACAGGGAGACTCTGTCTCAAAAAGACCAAAAAAAATATCTCCATTTCATTTTAAAGTATAGTGTTTCCTACAGAAAGACGCATTTTTAATGCTAACACTTAGATGTTTGCACACGTGTCTCTAATCTCTCTGTATCCGATTATCACTAGTCACAGTCAGTTACATTCGGATCCTCAGCATTTGAGTATGGATTTAAAGTCTTCAGGTAGATTTCAAAGGTATGTTTATCACCTCTACTGATTAACATGAAGTAAATTTTTATGCTTCCTCCTCAAATATAACTCATTTTTTAAATTTGTTAATTTTCTGTGTATATCTTATAGAACATCCCAAACAATCTTATTCATCTATATACCCACTTTCCAAATGGCACTCTCCCATATGCCCCCCACTGGAGCCCATGTGCTCTGTCATCCCTGTTACTGTTCACTGCATTGTCAGCGCCCCTAGCCATTCTCCAGTACTTGTCCATCCATTGAATCTAGTCAGCCTATCTAAAGATCTTTGTTTTAGGAAGATCAGCTGTTCCTCATCTAGCAGCAATCAGTTGTCAATATTACTTTAGATAAGATTGGGGTCTGCTGTTCATTTTCCCTGTTCTATGCTGGGTTACTGTCTGGGAGTCTCTTGGGTCACCCTGGCCAATAATGAAGTTATCTCCTGTCTGGTATTATTTCTTGTTATGTAGCCTTTAGCTATATATATGGACTCTTAAAAATTATATTGACCCCTTTTATCTTTGGTTATACTTTCCTTTTGGGTGTTTGAGATCCTAGAGGTGGCCCAGGTAAACCAATTTATTTTTACTCTTAAGGTTGTTGGAGGATCTGTTCCTCAGGGTCATATGGGCTTGGGAGGAGGCCCTGGCTCCTCTCCTTTACCCGTTCTATCTGTGCAAAGATAAGTCAAAGGTCCTGCTCGACCATGGCTGACTTCACTTGGAAACCTGGAGGAAATGTTTCCTCTGTGTTTTCCCTCCTCTGTGTAGCCTGGACACTGGTTCAGGTACATCTGGTGGGGTCTCCATTGCCTCCTTGATCAAGAGGACAGGTGACTCAACAAAGTTACAGGATATTTTGAATGATGCTCATAGTCCCTTGGAACTTAGTTGACCTAGAAGGGCAAGGAGCCAAAACTCACCTTTAAGTCCCTCTGACCAAATTAGTGTAGGCCTCAAAGTATGGATGTTAAACATCAAAGAAGGTTAGTTCCACCAGTCTTGTACTTTTAATTACCGTGTGCCATGTAGATAAACCTTGGGAAAAGACCAAACGTTCTCAGATAAACCTTCCCTAGACAGATACTATATTCCTTTATCTAGTTGCATGTATAATTTTTCAGTAGGTTGTTGGACTAATATTGTTCCCTCTGGTTTTTTTAAAAGTAGCTAGGCATTATTTATCTTTCTCATTGTCTAACCCTTCCACCATTTAATGTGCCCCCATTTTCCCCATTTCTGCCTTACTAATACCCTTCTTCTGTGGCCCCACCTCTCTTGAGCTCCTTCTTTCCCTTTATCCCCTAGGTTCCTTGTATACCCTTCCCTCCACCCTCCCCTTAAAATAACCCCATTTTTATCCATAGCTCCCTTATTAATGCCTGTGTCCTACTGCTTTTTCTTTCAGATTTTTGATTTTCCTTTACCATCCTGGTTCCTTTTCATTTTCCTGGTTCCTGTAGTTATGTCTGGATACATTACTTATAAGGATTTGGTTAGGTTCCACATATGAGGGAGAACATATGTCATTTTTTTTCCTGAGTCTGTGTTACTTCACTTAGTACAACAGTTTCTAGTTCCATCCATTTACCTGCAAATTTCATGATTTCATCTTTCTATACTGCTGGGTAAAACTCAACCATATCAATGAATCACATTTTCATTATCTGCTTGTCAGTTGAGGGACACTTAGGTTGCTTACATCACTTAGCTATTGTGAAAAGAGCAGCAACAAACATGGATGTATAATTGTCACTGCAATAGGATGAGTTCTTTGGGTATATGCCAAGGAGTGGTATAACTG